GGGGGCGCCGCCCCCTGCTGGTGGGAAAAGTCCAGTCCAGACGGGGGAACAGCCCTCCCTGGTGGCGGTGGGGGGAGCCAGTCTGTGCAAGGGGAGCAGCGCCCCCTGCTGGTGGCGTGGGTGGGATCCAGGCTGGGCAAAGGGAGCAGCGCCCCCTGCTGGCAGGGTGGGGGGATCCAGTCTGGGCAGGGGAGCAGTGCCCTCTGCTGGTAGGATGGTGGGGTCCAGTCTGGGGAAGGGGTGTGGCACCCCGGATGTCATGGTTGGGGTTGGGAACGTTTCTTGTTTGATATCTGAGCCTCCAAGCCCATCTTCCCTGTGCTGTGCATCTCTGAATGCTGAAATCTTACCATGCAGGTGGATGAATTGCTTGCGGAGAGCAAGGAGAGGAGGGCCCTAGACCCTGCGAGAAGGAAGTACCTTTTTCAGAGGTAATTAATCCTAGCAATACACACGGCATAGAGGCAAAATGCACCGCTGGATCTGAAATCCAGGCTGGGACATGCGGGTAATATTTGTGAAGGGCTAAGCTGTTTGTCATTGAGGGATAACTGCAGCTGATTTTGATAGAAAGTTCCCTTAACAATTTTGCTATTAAATTCATCTTCAGTGATGTGGAGGGATGCCCATGTAAATTAATTATGGGGATTGGAAAGTTGAATAGTGGGCTCGAAGCCAGGAGACATAGGTTCTAGTCCCAGTCTTGCCACTCACTTCCTCTCTGTTTCCCCATCCATACAGAGAGGATAACTATCCTTCCTTTGTACCTGTCCTTTGTTTTTTATCCAAGGATCAGAAGCTTCTGCTGATGAATCTAATATAATTATTTTAGAATTTTCAGTTAAATTAAACATGAAATAAAAAAATATATTCTGAAGTGGCAAGTTTGAACTCCCACGTCAGGCAATGGAAAGTGTAAAACAGGAGAAGCTGATGCAGTTCCTCTTGTGGAATTATTCTAGGCAAAGTTCGGAGGTACCTCTATGTGTGATTCTGTTCTGTGAAAAAATACATATGGATCCCATGTGCCTTGCTTTCTTTTTTAAATCAAATACATGGTTTTAAAAGTTGCAGTCTCTTTCTGCTTCTGGGGCAGATGATGTTGGGGTTAGCCTACCATGAGGCAAATACTCATTTCTTCTAATGCTATTATTTACATAGCACTAAAAACACACACAGAGAATTTAGGAAGGCAAAGTTCCTTTCCTAAGGGGCTTAAAATCTGTGCACTCGAGTAACCCCATTGACTTTAGTGGGACGACTTATGTTTGTAAAGTTACATATGTGTATAAGTACTCTGAGGTGCTTTTTCAGAAGAGATCTTCTGGACAAAAAAAATTTTAAAGAGAGCATCTATACAGCAAAAGTGCAACGAAAAAGCGATGAGCTTTTTTGAAAATATCGTCCACATTAATTGGACACTGTCTCGCATTTAAGTTGTGATTAGTCTGGATGGAGTGGTTTTTCTGGAGGCCCTTCTTTCGAAAGAGCTCCCTCTTCTGCATCCATACACACCTTTTTCCAAAAAAGCTTTTTTGGAAAAAGGCTTCTTCCCCGTGGAATGAGGTTTACCGCCATCGGAAAAACCCCTCCATTCGTTTGTCTTTCTGTCGAAATAATTCAATAGCAGTGTGGACGAAATAATTCAATAATTCCAGAAAAACACTGCAGTGTAGACACACCCTGAGGGTCAGAGGGCTAACCTCATGTTTCAGAAATTATACATAGTTTTAGTCATTTTGGCATCAGAAGAGAACACACAACCTTTGTTTTCAATGCAGATGTTTGGAATTGAAAAAATCAGTGGATGAAAATACATCTGTTCTTCAAAAATTGAAAAAAGTAAGTATAGAGGTTAAAGCATTTCTTATTTTCTCAAAATAAAATGTATGGAATGTTTAGAGAGTACTAATTATGTAAATTAGTCAGGGCAGGCACCGTGTCTAATTTTTTGTACAAAAGCAAGTCTTTCTGGGCCCTGATCTTGACTGACAGATTAGTCTAATATAAAAATTAAATACAGTAATGATATTTTTTCTATATGCCTTTAAATGTCAAGTTCTGTAGTTGAAAAGTTTCTTAAGATTACTTAATATTCTAGTAGGGGGTAGTAATAGGAAAATCACAAAACTGAAAAATAAGAATATAGATTTTTGACCGCCTTATTGGCGACATGAAAGATCTTTTACGTAAACAGAAAATGGAGAGCTGGCCACCCCATGCTTAATTACTTAAATGATATCACTGAAGAAAACAGAACATATTGCTCAAACAAGAAGTTCAAATTGGCTGAGAGCCTAAGGCCTCAATGCATCCAATGCTAATACTCTTCATTCTCTTCCTTCCTCCCTTCTGCCCACTTCTGGCTGTTTCATGTGAACTCATCTGAGAGGCCTGATCTGGTAGGTGGCCTCTGAGCAAGCCTACTGGATCAGGCCCTGCATGTGACTTAAAAGATGGCTGAATATTGATCTTCCCCTGGTTTGTGAATTGCTCTGGGGTTACGGCATAAGATAGATGCCCAGACATTTAGAGGGAGGCAGTACTGCACGAGCCCAGAGGTTGGAACTTAGGGGTCTAGAGCACTTTATTGCCAAGTGAATTTAGGCACCTGCAGGATTTGGCGGTGGGAGTTGTGTGTCGCAGTCAAAACAAGGACTAACGTGCTTAACTCCTTTTGTGCATTCTGGCATAAGTAATTAGAAAATACAAATGGAGGAGTTAGCTTCATTCCTTCAGCAGTTTGGTGTATTCTTTTTTTCTAGACGGATGAGCCCGCACCTGTAGGGAATTATAATCAGAGAAAAGAAGAGGAAGAAAAACAATTGTTAAAACTCTCCCAGCAGCTCCAGAAACTTGCCGCAGTCCTGAGTGAGGACAATGTGTAAGTAATATAAACAGACAAACACATTTTAATTAGGCTAGCATTAAGAAATATCAGGGGACAAGTGAAACAAAAAACAGGACTGTGTAGCACTTTAAAGACTAACAAGATGGTTTAATAGGTGATGAGCTTTCGTGGGTCAGACCCACTTCCTCAGATCAAATAGTGGAAGAAAATTGTCGCAACCATATATACCAAAGGATACAATTAAAAAAAATGAATTGTAACCAGGGGACAAGTGACTTTGTTATAGAACCACAGAAGTTGTTTTCATACTCATATAAAAATGTATTCATTTTACAGCTGAAACAGACACATTCGTGTCTATGAAAGGAGCTGAAGATAAAATACCAAAGCAATCCTTAGAATCTGTACTGAACTGTGGGCACTACAGCAGCCATTCCCTTTTCATTTTTGTCTTTTTATAGTATGCCCTGTCCAGACATTGAAGCATGAGCCAATGCTCATCTGTTCCCTCAGGCTACGTCTACACTGCAAGTTTTTGCTAATGACATTGCAACTCATGCTAATGAGTCCCTCATTAGCATATTTTCTGCCGCAAAAACATGCAGTGTAGACAAAGCCTCAGAGAAACCCTTTCTTCTTCATGCTGTGGACATTCTATCACCAAGAACAAAGGGGAACCAGTGTGCTAAACTGAAGACCTGTGTTTCTCTTGGTTGTTGGAGGTGGAGCCCTCTAGACATTCAGGGAAAGTTGACTTTTTCTGACTCCACCCCTAACAATGGGAGGTGAGAAAAATGAACCCAAATATAAAAAGGGCCAGGCCTGACTGAAAGGCAGGTAGGGACACATAAAAGAATACTGTAAGTCGGTAGGCACTATGCAGGTTGAAGAGCCAGGATGGTGGCTGAAGATGTGCAGTTCCTGAGGGGAGCAGTTTGGTTGACTGCAGGCCAGAGGGGTCTGACTGGAAGATTCCAAGGATTGTGGTTGGGTCCAAAATTGAATGTAGTCATCAAAGGTTGGAAAAGGGTGTGTATATCCTGGCCTCCAAGTCCTGCCCAGAGGGACCTCTGCACAGTTTAGAGTTTGGGAATTTCTGCTGGTTGTGCTAGGAAGCTGAGACCCTGGAATGAGCACCCTGCTGCAAGGTAACTTCAGAGACGCTGAATGACAAGGAAAGTAATTCTCAGTTATATGCTGTGGAATAATCTGGAGGTGATCCATTGAAATAAGCAATTAAACGTGGGGTATCATTTATCTTGTGCAGAGATGGGAAATATCAAAATAGTCCTCAGACAGAACAGGAAAATGAAGAGGAGGAGGAGGATGAAGAAGGTAGTGGAGAGGAAGATGCTGAAGAGGATGATGACGACGACGGTGAAGAAGAGGAGGAGGATGACGATGAATCGGATGATCAGCCAACAATTAAAGAATTTATCACTGTTGGTGATTTTGTTGCCCAGCAGGAAGGGGATCTTACGTTTAAGGTACCTATATCTTTGAAAACACTATACAGTGTGTTTGAACACAGACTGTAGATGACTGTGTGTATGTCTCAGAACTCTGATTAAAGAAATGCATGCAAATCCACCACTCTCTCCGGTCCCTCTTTTCCAATTGTCCGTCTCTTTTTCCCACCTTGTCAGACTGTTCTCTGGAGACAAAATTATGATCCTGGAGTAATCCTCATATCCAACTGCTCTGACCACATCCAGTCCCTGCACTCACTGTTTTTTTTTTCTTATGCACATTATCTGATCTCTACATAAATTTCAGCCCCTGCTCTGTCCCTCTTAATTTTCTTTCCCTGTTGCTCCCTTTGTTTCTTTTTCCCACTCTTGCTCTTGTGCCTTTCACATTGCCCTTAAACTTGATGTAGCCTCTTATTTTTGTCTTCTGTACTTTTAATATTCATATTCCATGAATCCTTTTCTTCACTGGTGTTAACTAAGATTCACTAAAACTTTCATTCTCTGCGGTGCTGTCATATATTCTGTCTTTGATTGTAAACTACCATATATATTCGAACATAAGCCTGTTTTTCATAAGCCAATCCCCCTAAACCTACAGGAAAAAAAAGTTTAAAAGGTCAGTCACCTGTTTATAAGCTGACTCCAGTGTGCAGACTTCCAGTCCAGCTTGTCAGTGTCAGCGCGGGCTCAGGGATGTGCTGGCTGCAGGCATGGAGCCTTTCAGCTCCCATTGGCTGCTGTTTCTAGCCAGTGGGAGCTGAGAGGCTCTGTTCCTGCAGCCACCACTAGGATCAGAGTGGCAGGTGGGCAGGGCAGACTGTATGGCTGAGCTACATGCAGCCAAGGTAGAAGACCAGTGGGCAGGGGCCCATTAGCCAATGGGAGTCACAGGAAGTTTGCTGACCCCCCCTTCCTCCCGTGGGAAAAATGTGAAGAACCCGTTCATAAGCCAACCTCTGCTCTTTACAGTGGGATTTTTCACCAAAAAAACCTGGCTTATGAATGAATATATATGGTATTTGGGACTAGGCTGTATCTTATCTTTGTTAAAGAGCAGTGTGCGTGAGCTTTAAAAAGATTTGGTAATATCTGGTTGGAAAGGTGAGGAAGCTTTCTCACACTATTTTTTGGAGCAAATCATTCAAGAAAACTCCTTATAACTGCATACTTAACAGTGAAATCAGTCCATGCTTTTAAAAACACGGTAACAAACTGGAGAATGCCAAAGTAAGAACTAGGATGGTGACTCTGATCTCCATAGGGACACATGGGTATTTGGCCTTGATCTCTTGTTCCTTGAGCCGTAAGTACTCTCTAGTAGTCTCTCCTCTTGTCTCCAGGGCATATTTGATAGATAAGCTCTGAAAGGAGTCTTTGTGGCTGGACTCTGCTCAGTTTCATATGTATGGTTAAGTATCTCTGTTTACATCTCTCCCAAATCTACTTGAAGGTGCCTTCAAGAACACCTGAACAAGAGGAAACCTTAGGGGTGGGAGCATATTCTTAGTGCTTGGCCTGTAACTTCACTGAAATGCCTTATACTTGTTTTTTCTTACCTAAAAATAAAGTTGAAAGTTGAACTTTTACCACCCTTGGCTATTTGGAAAAAGTAAACTAGCTCACTAACACTGCAGTTTCAAAGAATTCATGATCAACCAGAATATGAAATCATCTGGGTAGGCCAGTCTTAGATAAAAATTAGATTTAAGAACAAATTAGAAGACAATGTTATATTTTGTTCTAAAGGTGAGAACATGACCAACAATTGTTCCACAAGTAATTTTTAAACATCTGAATATCAATGCTTTTGTGTCTCCTCTTCTTCTTTGTCTTCCCTCTCCCCTGTTACTGAAGAATGGTGAAGTGCTGCTTATACTTGACAAAAAGCCTGATGGTTGGTGGATGGCTACAAATTCCAAAGGGGAGAGAGGCCTCGTTCCTAAAACCTACCTCATGGTTAGTCTGTTTCCACCTTCTTCCTTTGTATTTGCACCTCAGAGATGTGATGAGTGAGCATGTGTAAAGCTACAGATGATTAGCAAAGCTTTTTTTTCTCACCTTACAAAGATAAATTAGATAGCGGTTAATTTGTTGTAAACAAAACCAGCACCCGTGAACCCTTGAAGTGTGATGATCTCTGACATGGAAGGGCAGTAGTGAATACCTAGGTTGCTGTAATGTAATTCACACCTACACTTTCATGTACTACTTTTAACTTTATGTACCAACGTTTTTGTGCCTCATGACATTTATTTAGGTGTATAAATGGCATTTGTGCATTTCAATTGAATAGATGTCTAAAGAGCAAACACAACACACACATTTCTGTTTAGATACCCCACTTGGGTATATTGAATCCTGTTCTGATGAAACCTGTGTCTGTGTTTTCTACTGGGTTTTCTCTCTAGTGAGAGAGCTTTGTAGGGCCAAACCACAGAGCAACTTATGTAGCTTTGATTACTTTGTACCTGAAGGTTCAGGTGCATTTTCCTCTCTCAGGAGGCTTGCTCTCAAAATGAGCTCTCTTGTTTACTATTTTAAGAGGCAAAAACTTGCTGCTATAGAAATTGAAAAATTACTGACTTTAGCTGCAGAACATCATACTCTCATAGGGTACGTCTACACTGCAACTTTATTTCAAAATAACTAGCGTTATTCCAAAATAACTTAGATGGCATCTACACAGCAGGAAGTTATTTCGAAATACTGTCAAGCTGGAGAACTTCTTACTCAGGCTCCTGTAGCTCTCATTGTATGAGGAGTAAGGGAAATCAAAGGAAGAGTGCTCCATTTCGAAATAAGTGCTGAGTAGACGTACCCATATAATAATAAGTTATTTCAAAATAAGCTACGTAATTCACGTAGCTCAATTTGTGTATCTTATTTTGAATTAAACCCTGCTGTGTAGTTGCACCCATAGTGTCCTGTAGCTATCAGTCATTTTGCTCACTGACCATTAAAGTGAACTAAGCTCCTCTTCTAAGATACTGAGCCATCGTGATGGGCGCTCAAACTGTTTTTAAAATCTGATCTATAAAGTAGGTAAATCACTTGGCAATTTTAACCCTGATTTACAGGCAAGCAATAAAGACGGAGTTGGCCAAGAGGCAAGTGAAGAGGAAAGTGAGGAAGACATAGAGGTGGTTGATGAAACAGCAAATAGTACCAAAATTAAAAAAAGGTAAAAATGAGATTGCATTGGAGAAAATGAAGTGAAATGTAACCTGCACCTCTCTTTTTTTTTCTTTAAATTACTTGAAGTGCAAATGCTTTGCCAGTTATGTTTCTCTTTGTAGTAATGACATTTTCAGTACAGGAGTAATTGTATTTATTGTGTAGATTTCCAGTTTGAACTTTGCTTTCAACTTCCAGTCATTTCTTTCTTTACTAAGTTTTTTTGGCTAATAAAATCAAAGAATGGCTGCTATCCTATCTTCATAAATCACTCCACAGAGTGGAAAGTAGTAATATGTTTTCCAACTGCTTGTTGATGGGCACATCGACCTGATGTACTAGACTTCTGCCATTCAGAGGCAGATACATGTATCTTATAGTTGTAGTAATTATTACTTATGCGTCCGTATGTTGGCAGTACAGTCATATTGTTTTGCTTTATGGTTTCCTTTTCTTTCCCACCCTACCTACAGAACGGATTCTCACTGGAGTGCTGTTAGAAAAGCTATCACTGAGGTAGGTATATTTCTTACGATATTACCTTAATAAACTGTCATTGGCTGTGTCTACACTGGCATGAATTTCCGGAACTGCTTAAAACGGAATACTATTCCGTTTTCAGTTTTTCCGGAGAAGGAGCGTCTACATTGGCAGGCTGCTTTTCCGGAAAAGCCCTTTTTCCGGAATAGCGTCCGTGGCCAATGTAGACGCGCTTTTCCGGAAAAGAGCCCCGAGCGTCATTTTCTTGATCAGGGCTTTTTTCCGAAAAGATTACTGGGCTGTCTACACTGGCCCTTTTCCGGAACCGTGTTCCGGAATAAGGACTTATGCCCGAGCGGGAGCAGAATAGTTTTTCCGGAATAGCGGCTGATTTTGTACAGTCGAGCGTCGTTGCTTTTCCGGAAATTCAAGGGCCAGTGTAGACAGCTCGCAGCTTATTCCGGAAAAGCGGCTGATTTTCCGGAATAAGTGGCCCAGTGTAGACACAGCCATTATGTTTATAAATTGTATTTGGCATGAGAGCAGTCTTTCTGTTTACACTTCCAGGTAGACATAGTTATTTTGAAATAATAACTCCCAAAATAACTATTTTGAAATGAGCTTATTCCTCTTCACAAGCAGAAGTTATTATTTCAAAATAACAGGCTTGGTAGTGTGGATGTGCACCTTGTTATTTCGAAATAAGGGGAATTCTTTCAAAATAATTCCCCAGTATAGACATGCCCTTTGATTTAATCAGAGGGGATTTTTGGCAAGTAAAAGGGTCTGTAGTTCATTGTATCAGTGATACAAGGTGCCCAAAAGTTTCAGTGAGGGGTACCAGTGTACAATTCTAAACAAATACAGAAATGCGTGTCTAGTTGTATTTTTCTTTAGTAGTACCCATTAGATCTTGTTTCAGAGATGTGTTTAGTACAATAGTGTAATGTCAGTGTATATTATATCTCGACAAATGAAGTTCTGTCAGTGTGGTAGAGCAAAATAGGAGATTGTGTGTAAAAACTCTGAAGATAACTTTCAGGAACAGGTGCCCGAATCCCAACATGTGTGTGTTCTCCTTTGTGATTGGCTGCCCTGGGAATGGACGTTAGGATACGGACATAAGCTAGTTAGTGGTTAATGAAAATTGCTACAACTTCAGAATATAATTTAATGTTTTGAGCAGAATAATACCATTGATATGCTGGCAACCATGGGAGCAGTTCCTGCAGGATTCCGACCATCAACTCTCTCCCAGCTCCTAGAAGAAGGTAAGATATTCTTGCAATGATTGCAGAGCAGCATTCATTATCACCCGTGATGAGCCTCTGATCCAAATTACCAGTCTGTTAAGAACAGTCTCATTCTTTTTAAATTACCCAGGATTGGTTGCCTATACTAATTGTGGTTGACTCGGTTGTGTGTAGGAATCTTCTTAGCTTCTTTCTTCATTCGTCTGGGGTGAAATCCTCGTCCCATTGAAGTTAATGACAAAACTCCCTGTGACTTTGACGATTTCACCCTAGAAGGGGCGAAATCACCAAGGCAGTTTGTAGGCAGTGTAGAATAAGAATACTAAAAATCCTTTTCCCGTCCTCTCCCACCACAATTTCTCTAGCCATAGCTAAATTGCAGGCTTCATTTCTTTTAAGCTCAAGAGGGCACCCGAAGAATGTTGAAAGCAATGTTTTTATAACTGTAATTTTAAGTTCCTTATGGCCTAAGAAATAAGATGGTATAGGTAGAAAACACTGTTTATGCTCAATGGATGTTATCCTGCAGGGATGAAATCTATAACTAAATAGAATCTATGCTGTTCCAAGAGATGGGTGAAGGCATATAAACAATATAAGAAAAGTAAAAAACTTCTTCTTCTAGGAAATCAGTTTCAAGCCAGTTACTTCATACAGCCTGAATTTACTCCTTCGCAACTGGCTTTCAGAGACCTAGTATGGAACCCTGAAACAGACTCTGTGAGTAATTTCTGGAGATAAAGCTCTGCATGTGGTCACTATCAGGGTAGATGACAAGAGTGTTTAGTTAGATGAACAGGAACAGAGCTCAGAAAACAAATATATTATTAGTAAATATCAAAGTGAGGTAAATGTTAACATGCTTCTATGTCACCCAGGGCATTCCAGGAGGTAGATACTATCTCATCGTATCAGCCGACAGACAAAATATCATAAGAAACATGATGTCATGATATTCCCTAGATAAGAACCAATTCCAGCTGAGCAAACCTATTGCTTTTCTGTCTCCCAGGTGAAACAGCTGTACCAGGCTGAACTAATCTTTTAGCTAGACGTCAGACTTTTTTCTGACACTGTGAAATCACTTGGTTTTCATTTAGATGAGTAGTTGTTCTTCACTGAGGAGATTTGGGGTCATTTTCTAACTAGCCTTTGCAACATCATTTCAATATTGTAGTTGCAAAAATGCACGTACGCCAGGCATGTAGAAGAGAGTACCTCAGAAGATTGAAATGCCAGAAAGCCCTGAACTATTTGGAGATGGTACCAACCTCTTCCTCCTGGGTCTTTGCTTACCTTGTTATCAGTGGGAGAACCAACTGTTTGCTACAGTAAATTAACTTGCAGATTCCCCATTATGTGTGTGAATTACAATCCAGTGTCATTGCCGTAAGAAATCCTTCCTGCTTATGTTTGATGGACAAGGTGTTTTCATCCCCGTGCCTTGTCTGAGGGTACAGTATAGGCCACAGACTCCTAGCACGTGTTCAAAATGCACACGGAAGAGTGTGGGTCTGTGGACAAAACTGAAGGGTAAATGGACTGGAGTTGGTGGACCCCGCCCACCATGGAGGGGTGGAGAAGCCTTTAGATGTTTGTAGTTACTAAAAACAATCTCTGTTGTATAAATAGGTGGCCTGTATCCAACCATAACTGTAACTCGACACTGTTTTTTCGAGTGATTGTTAGATGGCTTTTTATAAACATAATTGATGGAGGTGAAATGGAACTGGTCTTAAGCCAGACCCTGATAGGCCTGTGTTCATAAAAGCACCCCCACACTTGACATTAATTAGCACTCTTGTTGACAGAGCAGAACCACCAAGAGCTAAGTGGAATGGAGACTGACTGGTGTCCCTCAGAGGGGGCCTCTTTGCAAAAGGGTTGAGATATTACAGAAAAGCTTTGTGGTTGCCACTTGATCTATACCCACTCTGTGGACAGAACAATCCAGTCTCCATGGTGCTGTTGCACTTGTCACAAGCCTGAATATTTATGCCATAGTTAGGAGGAGGACCGTGTAGCTTTAACTCTCTGTCTTACTGTTTTGTCTGCTTCACAGATTCAGCCAAGGCCAACTCGAATATCACTGATTTTAACTTTATGGAATTGTAAAATGATTCCCCTTCCAGGAGTGAGCATACAGGTTCTCAGTAGACATGTTCGACTCTGCCTTTTTGATGGTAACAGGGTGAGTTGCTCTGAGGCAATACAAAGGAATGTTCCAGAATCAGTGAGGTTAAAACATGATGTATTAAGCGATGGGCAACCTAGGCTAGTAAGTAAGCTGCACAAGTGGCCCTCTCTCATTTCAGTGGGCCATAAGTTTGTCATAACAAAGACAATCTCTCAGGATAGGGTAGTTTTGCTCACTGTGCTTGCACACCTAGAATTTGTGGGGTGTGCTTATTGAACTGTAGCAGCACTTAGATTGGATGCAGAGGGAGTGCTTGGCTCTCACAGTCAATCTTATGTCTTAAAAGTGTTTTAAAAGTGACTGGAACATTTATGAGCCCAAATCTCATTGAAAGTCAACAGGATTTGGACTTCTACATGCCTGAGTCACTGTAAAAATGGGACTTAGCCTCTAAGTCACTTAGGTTCTTTTGAAAATTTTACCCTAGATCCCCAATTTCATTTAACTCATATATGCTGCTTTTTACACACAAGAAACAGCTCTGCTAAGGAAATTCTGCTTTTTACAGTCACTTTTTGGAGTACAATTTTACTTTCAGCTTATTTGCAGTCTACATACTTTTTAAAAAGTAATATGAAAATGAAATATATAAGCTGACCATAAATGGGACAGTTTTAGAGAACTTTTTTTTAAAAAAGAGCTTCATGTGAATTCATTTTACTTTAGTAAATACATTCTTGGTGCAGATTTGTTTCTGTTTGTCTAAAAATCACCAAGCATTCTTATACCACTGTATAAATCATAGGCAAAAATTTGTTTCTTAAATCAAGATGAATAGAAAACATATAATCCAGAGTTTCAAAATTCTGAAAATAGTCCACCAACCTTGGTGGGCTACTTAGAATTCAGAGGCACCTCCTCACTCATTTCACGCCACTATTTTCACTTCTGTGTCAAATCCCATATGCTCATGGCCAAGCGAGTGTTTCGTTGCACCTTCTGAAGCTGCTGCTAAATTGCAAGAAGCATTGCTAGAGAGGCTGTGCTGTGACTCTTCTTTAGCGGGACATGGATTCCTCTACAGGGCACTTAGCTAAGACGTGGGCTGAACTTGTATTGTAATGCCGAGTGCTGGACTAGCCTTGTATGACACTACATAATTTTCCAGAAAGCTTTTTTTTTTAATGTTTTTCCCACCACAATTTCCTTTCTTTTTCTAGGTGCTGAGTAACATTCATACAGTTAGAGCTACATGGCAACCTAAAAATCCCAAAACATGGACCTTCTCACCACGGGTAGGTATATAGCATAGCAAATTGACTTGAATATGCATGTGCGTCTGCTCATTGTAGAACAGTGTATGTGTAGATGTTGTCAGCTAATAGGCTCACCTCACTTTAGTCTTTTTACACAAAGAAAATGTATTAGAAAGGAAAAATGGAACTGCTTTGGGAGATTTAGCCCTCAAAAGCATTAGCTCTGAACGAAGGGCTGTATCTTGCAAACACTTGCTATTGAGTATAGTACTTAGTACCCAGAGTAATCCCAGTGATTTCAGGATGATAAAGCGCTATGCTTAGTAGTGTGTGCAGGTCGGACCCCTAATACAGCATCTCTGTTGGCTCACTGAAGTCAAGAAAGGTCCAGTTTCTCTGGGCCAACAGATCTGACCCAGAACATTTTCATTTGGAGGAAGTGCGTCGTGTGGATGATAATACCTAGTAGCATCCACCCCTAGATCTCAGAACGTCCTACAAAAGCGGGTATGCATGGTAATTCCTGCTTTACCGATGGGAAGACTGACACACACAGGTGAAGTGACATATGTCTACGGTCACAAATACAGTAGAGCTAAGTATGGTGAATGTTGTAAGGCCCACAGCTGCACCACCTCAGAATAGAACTGATAAAGTTGAATTAACCAATTAGGACGGGGTAGCTGTAAGCTTGGCGGAATTCCATTTTTTCCCAGCTTTGACAATACTGAATTTTCTTTTTTCCCAATTTTTAATTGTGTTTATTTTTACAGTTGTGGGAAATTAAGGGAGGATGGGGTTGTGGTTAGGGAGGAGTCATTCAGCAGCAAGATGGCCGCCCCCGGACGAGGGCTTGTCCTCCCGGGACTGGCCAGGGGTCTCTCCTGTGGCTAGTCAAGACCGTGGCCCTCCCCACACCTTGCATCTGCAGGGATCCATTGTCACCCACTCTGTAGCCGTGCAGCTCTGTACTTACTCCCCTGAGAGCCAGGCAGTCAAAAGCTCTTTGCACTGCTATAGGGCTGGTGACCTGCAGACACAAGGTGTGCAGGGGAGGCTGTTACGGATGGATGATTTTGTTTGTTGATTTCAGATTGTCGGTCGCAATCGATACTTGACAACATCTGCTGATTTAAATCAAATGCTGTCAACGTTGTGTGTGTGCCAGGAAGGGAATGCCCCAGGAAATGCTGAGAGGAGCTGATGTTAGTTATTGAGAAGGTGGCACGCTGTGCTTGGAATCAGTATAAACTTGAGCTCCAGGGCGTTGTTAGCAGTCGAGAAGAGGAGAGCGCAGCTGTGAATACGCTGCCTTTGTCATTTCATGATCATAGCTCATGACCTGATAATCTGCCTTAAACTGATGTTGTGTAGGATCGCTGTACTCTGTCAGTTGCTCTATGTTGACTGTGTTTCTCTTGTGGGCAAAACAGTCTCTTAGGGCATGTCTAGACAGCGGGGCTATAAAATAGCTCCTCTGCATCTTTAAACTCAACCATTATTTCAAAATATGTTTCAAAATAACGGGCGTGCTCATTCGGCATCCCTGTAGCCTTTGTTCCACGAGGGTTAAAGGATCTCTCGAAATAGTGCGTTATTTTGAAATTTGGTGCTGTGTAGACACGCCAAATTTCTAAATAAGCAATTTTGAAATACAATCGAAATAAGATATGCAATTTATGTAGCACAAATTGCGTATCTTATTTTGAATTTAGGGTGCTATGTAGACGCACCCTTATTTATTAAATACTTTGAGAGCCAATCATTACCAAAGGTGTTACTTTTAGAGATTAGCAGCGTTTTATGGAAAAACAAAGAAGAACAGTAGATTTGCCTTGAGTCTTTTTAGTTAAAAGAAAGTGATGAATAATAAAACTGACCTTAGGCTCTTCTGTAAAAGATTCAAGGTGTTCAGAAGTTTTTTAAAAATTGTGAATCTTGAAAATCTACACTGACAGCTTATTTTTGTTTTAATGCATTAGGTAACAGGCATCTTACCCAGCTTGCTTGATGGTGATTGTTTTGTCAGATCCAATTCTTCATCTCCAGACGTCGGTATATTATTTGAACTTGGCATCACTTATATTCGCAATGTAAGCATAGAGAGGTAGATACATTTTCCAAACTCAATATTTTATTATCACTTCCAGAATCTCAACATCAAACAATTGTGGTACAATAGAAAATTGATTTTTACTGTTAGTCAAATGTTAGGTTGACAGCAGTGGAAACTGAAGTCTTATTACCCACAGAAAAGGAAAAACATTCATTGCACCCCACCCACTACCATCTGTGGAGGAACAGAAAGGTAGTTTTTACTCTCTTTGTTTGGCAATCAGAACACTTTGTCTTCCTGATCACTTGATCTCAGAAAATTATACTTGTGCTGAAAGCATTTGTATTGGTCTTCCGAAAGGCTGGATTGTGACTAAGGACCTATTCCTTCTCATTCATTCTACTTTCCCCATTGCCTTCCAATTTTAGCACGGTTAGTAGCTCACAATCAAATTGTACAAAAACTCATTTTTGGTCCCAGCCTGGGGCGACAGGGCTTCATAAAATCTACCAGCCCCCGTCCCTCTAGGCTCTTGGCTGGATCTTGAGGGGAATGTCTTTTTTTCTGCTTCTCAGTTGGGGGGCCACATCTGTGAGGGGCTTTTTTTTTCTCCTCGCTTGGGGGCTAGGTCAGTGAAGTTTTGTTTTGGGTTTTTTGCTTCCAGTAGAGATGTAAGTGACTAGTTGACTACCCGATAAGCATATGCGGAGAGCAGGGGAGGCAGAGGCGCAGCTGGAGGATTTGAGCATGAGCCGGGAATCAGCTGTCCCAGCTCACACCTGGTCCCCCCAGCTGCACCTCTGCTTTTTAAATGTTTTAAGAGCTGCCCGGGTGCTAGCCAGGACAGCTGATTCCTGGCTCACACTGCGTCTCCCCCACTGCACCTCTGCTTTTTAAAGAGCCTAGCGGCTCTTAATGCATTTAAAAAGCAGAGGCGCAGCCGGGGGTGGAGGAGGAAGACTTGGTCTGAGCTGGGACAGTTAACTCCCGACTCGTGCTCGGTCTCCCCCCCTGTGCCTCTTCCTTTTAAATGTATTAAGAGCCAGGCGGCTCTTAGTACATTTAAAAGGTAGAGCCGCAATGGGATTAGCTCTTGGGACAGAGAAGGGACCTGAACCCGTGGGTCTTTGGGTTTGCAAAGTTAGATAATTGGCAACCCCACTGGGCAGGTGGGCACCAGCCAGCGCAAGCACATCACTGCACAAATGTCAGCGGGACCGTGTCCATGCGGGCCTGGCTTGTACGTGCGTGGCGGGGGGGATAGGCAGGGGAGGTGCTGACTGTTGTACCCTCGGGCTGAGAATTCCTGTCAGTGGCCTTGTCTGGAACCTTTCCTAATTTTGAGAGAGATTTTATCTGTGGTTCCTCAAAATGTCACTTGTCTCGTTGGGTTCTGTTTTTAGCTGGCTGACTAAGTTCTGTTCCTCTCTTGCTTTCCAGTCAACCAGTGAAAGAGGAGAGTTAAGCTGTGGCTGGGCTTTTCTAAAGCTCTTTGACGCCAGTGGAATTCCAATTTCTTCCAAGTAAGTTGCCTGCCTTTTCCTCTCAGAGTGCCGGGTTTCTTTACAACTCATACGCTCGCTACGTTTTTTGGTATCAAAATTCTTGTTGCCGTTATCGGTGCTGGAATGTCACCTAGTAACCGTAGGGATAAGGGCACCGTAACAAGTCACTGGCGCGCTGCCATGGCACCTCCTGTTGGTCGCTTTGGGAATGAGCTCATTCAGTAGGATGCCTTCCCTGCTGATGTCTCGCCCACTGCTACTCTCGCTTTCTCCATTGTCTTCACAGTCGGACTCATGTCATTCCTGGACCAGGGAGTCTGCTTCTGGGCTTGGCCCTCCAGCTGTGCCCGAGCTCTGTTGGCTCCTTCCTCTTCCAGGGGATTTGTAGCTCCTGGGTTTATCGCTCGCCTCAGTGGCTCACTGCAGCCCTCAGACTAGCCTCTTTCTCCAAGCACATGCTGCCGTCTGGCTTAGCCATTCTTATCATTGGAAAGGAGGGGGCCCAGGCCTGTCTGCTACTCTGGGCCCTGAAGCAGGGACCCTCTAGCAGCACCTACCCACTGCCCTCCTCCACCTCTCCTCCACCACTTGCGTTTCTGGGCTACTTCCCCGTAGTCCCAGCCTCTTCTCTGCCCTTCGTGTCATGGCCCCAGCTTGGCATTCATCAGCCTAGTGCTCTCCCAGCCTCTCTGATCCTGCTCTTGTCTTGGTTGTCTCTCTGAGAGCCAGCCCTTTGCCCTCCAAGTGGAAACTGCCCTCTGCTCTGCTCTGCTGCCCCTTATATTTGGGCTGCTCCATCATGCCCTTTTCTGATTTGCTCTCAATGAGCTCTTTCCCCATTGGCTGGGCTCTGCACAGCCACTCCTGTGCTGCACTAGGCCCTCCCACGCCGACTTGGGGCAGCTGTCCCACTACAGACACGTGTATTAATTGCAGAAATGTTAAAAATTGTCAGTGGTGGCAAAGTATTTCCAGGGATGGAAAGTTGTTCCAATGGTTAATTAATTAACCCCACTGTTAAAATTCTGCGCCTGGTTTCCCGTGTGTCTAGCCTTTGGATCTTGTTAACCCTTTGTTTGGTGGACTTAAGAGACCATTACTGAATGCTTGTTGCCCAGGCAGATACTTATTAATTGTCATCAAATCACTCCTTAACATTCTCTTTGTTAAACTGAATAGCTTGAATTCCTTTCCTTATGTCTTTTGTTTACAGGTTTCTGTCTTATGTTCCAAAAGCTTAAGATTCAGGGCTTCGGCTGGCCACCTGCAGGGGTCACAAAGAGATTACTCCCTGCCACGTATTCTCATGGTTTGGAAAGGGGGTTGTCTCTTTTTTTTGAAGCATCACAGATGAAACACTGGGCAGGATGTGCCATGGCTCTGATGCGGCACCAATGATTTTTCTTTTTTTTTTCTTCTCTCTCTCTCATGCTTGTCTGGCTGGTTCTTGGTCTCATGCTTTGGAGCTAACTTATCACCATATGTGGCGTCAGTTCAGGGGACCAGGGCTTAGGCAGTCTGGCTTCAGGGGACCAGGGCTTAGGCAGTCTGGCTTCCTAGGATAGAGTCCCCTAGCCTGTAATTTATACATTCTTAGTGCTTCAAAATGCAGCAGGGTAATATTTGTTTAGAAACACAAATATTATGGAACTCACTACCTCAAGCAGGGAGTGAGACCAGACCTCACTGCTAGCAGAGCTAAATGCAAATCAAAACAAGCAATTGAGTTGACCTATTCAAGGGGACAGAATGACTCAAATCTAAATTGGTCCAAACCATTAAAAAAAATCTTGCTGCTGTGCATTGTCTCCCATAAATGTGATATTTGCATTTAAATGGAGTAAAATAGTGCAGAAGATGAAGTGAGCTTTGAAGAATAAAAAAGAAATCTGGCATCTGCTCTGTCAATTGTCCTTTTAACAAAAACAAGTATACAACACAAGAGAACCGTTTTCCTTTCATTTCTTTTCTCTCAGTGTATGGTCCTTCCATCAGACGCATGTCCTGCTGTGTTGCTAATACAGTCATATTAATAGCGTCTAGAATGTTGAAACTACATGTTTATCATCAGGATGAAAACTTTCAAACTGGGATGGCTAAAATTTGACTCCTGTATTAATATTTAGATGCCTAAATTACCTATGGATTCAAGAGACTGAGTTTAAGCACCGAAGTCCGTGTAGATTTAGGAACCTCACTTAAGTTACATACATTTTAACATTTCTCAGGTAGTAGTAGAAGTATCAAGTTGTAAGTGAGCAGGATTCTTGTGCCTGTTGGGTTATCACATGTACTGAAATACGAAAAATGTCAGAAAGCTGAGTCTAGAGTCCTCCATTAGAAATATCCTCTTTGAATGACCACGCGTTGTCAACAGAGTCTGTTTCACATTGTTAACATGTATTTTTATAAAGTGCCTGTGGAGTGTTCGACTGCATGAATCCAGTTGACATAAGATGATGACTGCAGTTTGTGAATATGTGAGTGAGGAGAGACCTTTGTTCAGACTGCAGAAATACAGGTTTCTGGGGATGAAAACACGAAGGCTACATCTACATTACAGGCTTCTTGTGCAAGAAGCCTTTTGCACTAGAGTTTTTGCGCAAAAACTTCTTGTGCAAGAGCACGTCCACACCCCAAAGCGCATCGCAAAAGCCGTGTGCTTTTGTACAAGAGAGCGTCCACACTGCTGGACGCTCTTGCGCAAGAAAGCTCGGATGGGCATTCACAGAATAGCCACCAAAGCACCTGTGCTTTTTTCCATAGGGGTTTCTTGCGCGAGAAACCCTCTGAGCGTCCACACTGTAGCGCTAAAAGCAGTTATGCCTCAGAAAAGGAGGTTTACCTATGGCGGAAAAAGCCCTCTCTTCTGCTGTTTAACTGCCCATTTAATTGCATAAGAGCTCATTTGAGGTGCGGACGCTCCCCAAGTTTTTGCGGAAAAACAGCTGGTTTTGCGCAAAAACCTTGTAGTGTAGACGTAGCCAAAGGGATTACTCCCTGCCAAAGTATTCTCACAGTTTGGGGTGTGTGTGAACATTTTAAACAACATTCTTGGAGTTAAGAACTTCAGAACGGCCATACTGGGTCAGACCAATGGTCCATGTAGCCCAGTATCCTGTCTGCCGACAGCAGCCAATGCCAGCTGCCCCAGAGGGAGGGAACATAACAGGTAATCAGGGGCAGACTGGCCCGGTGGGATACCGGGAATTTCCCGGTGGGCCGTCGTGTCCGCATGCCGTTGCCCCTCACTCGGAGCGACTCTGCGTCTGCGCTGTATGCGGCACGCAGGGCCCAACCTGCCGCCTGCGCCGCGTGCTGGACATGACGCAGGGGGCGGAGCTAGAGGGGCACGCAGGGGTGACGTCATGGGGAGGGCCGTTCTCAACCCATTTCCCAGACCTATTTTGATTGCCAGTGCGCTCCTGCAGGTAATCCTCACATGATCCCTCCTATCACCCACTTCCAGACTAACAGAGGCTAGGGACACCGTTCCTCCCCACCCTGGCTAACAGCCATTGATAATACATATAAGAGAATTATTGCTGGTAAGCTTTTTGAAATGTGGCTAATTTGGTACTGTAAAAGAGAAGCCTCAGTTTCAACTGTTCTGAGTGATTAAGCAAAATTAGGTCCTATTAAAATAGTAGTAATAAAAACTGGGAGATCTTTGCTTTGTTTTCAGAGGAAACTGATGTTATTGTTTCCCTTTCCTCCTGATGATGTTTATTGCTGTTTTTTACAGGGCGTATGAGCTTGTTTTGAATGGTGGCACACCCTATGAGAGAGGTATTGAAGTGGACCCATCGATATCAAGAAGAGGTACAGTTTCACATGTAGATCACAGACATGAAATGACACAACAGGTGGATATTCTATTTTGCAACCTTGCAAGCTGATACATTTTTGTAGGTGCTGAGTAGAGCACGGAGCTATGCTTCCCATTCAGACCCCCTGCGGCAGGGGGGAGGAAGAAGAGCAGTCGTGAGCTCATACACAGCTTTACTGCACAAACAATAAGGAAATTGACTTTATTCTGAACTTGGGACTGATCTTCATTCATGCCCATGAATTATCGAAACGGGAGTTCAAAGTAAAGTCCTTAACTCGAATTAGCTGTTATTTCTCCTGGAATGAGGTTTAACAGCTAATTCGAGTTAAGGGCTTTACTTCAAACTCCCGTTGCACTGCTGCGTGTAGACGCAGGCAGTTACTCCGGGCTAGTCAATTTCCAAAATGGCGGCCGCCCGGGAACATGCTAATGAAGTGCGGGATTTCGGTCGCCCTCATTAGCCTGCCTAGTTTGAACTAGGGGGCTAGTGTAGACGTACCCTTAGAGAATATGGGAAGGCCAGACACTTGGTATTAATATTGGCCCTGCTTCTCTCCTGCTGCAAGAAAAACCTGTATTAGGTAAAATGCTCTCAAAATTTCTGGGATACATCTTGCATTGGTGGAGTTCAGGGCAGGCTCACAATATTTTGGCACCTGAGGTGGAGAGCTCGAATGACGCCCCCATGCCTCCTCACTTGGGCCAGAACTTTGAAAGGTCTCTTGTGCCCGCCTTCCTCCAGCACAGCACTCCTCCATCTCTGTGTATGAGAGCAGAGAGACTACATATGCACCAGCAGCAGACACAATTTTCTACACTCTGGGTCCTAGTGGTACGCTCTCCTCCTCCTCCCCCCACACACAGTCTGGCTGACACCTGATGTGGCCTCCTCAGTTCGCCTCATGGTGGAGTTGCATTCCCCCCTCTAGAGGTCCATAGACATGAACATGATTAGAGCTGGATGATTTCATAGGGAGAGGACGTGTGATCTTTAACTCCATGGATTTCATAAGCAGAGCTGGCCACGACCCTCCTCCAGTAATGATGTCTGAGGAATATTGGTGTTATTGGTTATTCCTCCCTATAGTTCTTTTGGGAATGGAAGAAGGGTTTTAAGGTAGAAGCCTTAAAATGATCTTTGACTTCCAATTGAAAATCTGTCTGTACCCAGGAAAACAACTTATGAGAACCCCAACTCCTAAGTTCTGTATCCAGAACTTCTTTCTAAGTTGTGATGCTCCAACCCTGTTGGGGGGGGTGCGCACTAGCTGACCAGGAAGACGTGGAGCAAAGCTCTCAACTAGGGAGACGCAGAGCGGCTTTTCTCGCAACGGAGGACGCGGGCGGTGGGACCACGGCGTGTCTCGGTGGTCCCGCCACCCGCGTCCTCCGCAGCAAGAAAAGCCCCGTTCGTAAGTAGGGATCCGATGTAAGTGGATCCACGTAACCAGGGGACTGCCTGTATTATCTATAGTGTCTACTATGGTGTCCTTCAAATGGAGACCAGCAGGAAGAGACGTGTAAGAAAACAAGTCTGTGGCATGACAATAGTTTTCATTGCCACTCTTTTGTGAGACTGCACTTTAGTCAGATTTGGATTCAGCTCCCACCGAAACGTTACCTCAAACAAATGACAAACTGTTTTTTCTTAACACATTCTTCCAGATAAGCTAGCCATGCCCTGAGTATCTTAAATAGACCTTAGCAGGAGCGGGTACAGTGGAGCATCCATTATACAGTACCACAAATGAAGGGGCAGAGAGAGGTTGTTTGGGTGCCGGTTAGGAACATTCTTCCATGAGTGAATTAGGTGCTAATGTTGTCAGGTGTCATAATTGGTTAGGCCAGTGTGACTCTGACCTTGTCTTAAGCAGTCCCTGATTTGTAATGGTTGAGATTTGTGTGTTGTTTTTCAAAGGGATGCCTGCAGTGATGTGTTGTTGCACTTAGCAGTCTTAACAGAGTTATTTGTGATGGAATATGTAGTGTGTGTGCCCACACCCTTCACTGCGGTAAATGAAATTTCACCCCAAGCGCGGACAATGCACTGTCTATGTTTTAACCACGGGGGTACCTCTAGTGTTCCTCCTGAGCTATGATAAGGCCAATTTGCCAGAATCATAAATGAAATTCCCTTTTCAGGCTTGAAACGGTGCCTATTTAAACGTGCCTTCGTGTTTTATAAAACTATAGCTTCAAGACATCTGATGTAATTGTTGATGTTTATTTCAACTCTTTGTGTCTTAAGCAAGCAGTGGTGTTTTCCTTCAAATGCTAACACTGAAGAAACAGCCTCAGCTTCTAGTGAAAGTGAGATCGCTAAGCACACAGTCCAGAGGCACCCTGAAGTAAGTGTTCTAGGTGTGGAGGGTGAAGCTCTTGCTGTGATCGTTTACGTCAATTCAAATTTAATATGCTAGGGGGCAGTGCGCTTGTCACACTAGTGAACGCCCCCATCTGGGGGGTAGGCAGGCCTGACTCTGCCCCCAGCTGTCAGGGAGGGCCGGCAGTCGCACCAGCCCCAGCCTCTTGCCCCCCCAGCTGCTGGGGCCATGCCACCCTGGCTCTCTCCTCCTAGCCTCCGGGTGCAGGAAGAAGGGGGCCACTCCAAGGCCTTGCTAGGCCCCATGTTCCCCCCCATCCCTGCCACCAGGGAGGACTGAGCTGCGGCTGCACCAGCCCAGACCCCTTCTCCCTCCCCAGCACCCCTGCCTCCTGCTGTGCCAGCTGAGGCCCTTTCTCCCTCCCCTAGCTGCACCAGCTCAGGCCCCCTCTTCCTGCCCCCTCCCCGGCTGCGCCAGCCTGGGCCCTTTGCCCCCCACTCCTCCGCGGCCTAATCTTAACCCCTCCCCCCAGCTGAGGCTGCGTCAGACCCCACTCTGCCCTTGGCTGCCAGGGGGTGGGGAGCTGCTCCAAGGCCTCTCGTGCCCCATGCTCTCCTCCTGGCTGCTGGAGGGGGAGGGCTCTGAGGCCTCTCTCCCCCACGCCCTGCAACGGTCTATTCTTAACCCCCCCCTCCTGTCTGAGGCCATGTCAGGCCCCACTCTGCCCCCGGCCGCTGAAGGGAGAGGGCACACTCCCAGGCCTCTCATGCCCTGCTTTCTCCTGCCAGCTGCCAAGCACAGGGGAGGAGGGAGGTGTGGCGTGGCTGCAGGATGCCAGATCGACGTGATGACATCAGTCTGCTGTCCCGCAGGAAACACTATTTTTATAGGTGTAGTAAGAAAACTTGAAAAACTGGCTCAGCAGGTATCATCTGCGGTTTGTGTTTTAGAAGGCTTCTCTCTATGTACTTAGCTTCCCTCACCGTTCCTGTGCCACAAATATTGACCAAACTGCACAACTGATGAGATGAGGAAGTATTGTTATCGGGCGGAGGGAGCGACTTCCCTGCCAGAACTGGGCACTGAAGATGGCCTCCTGAATCCTTTGCTATTGCCTGAAGTACAAGGACATTCTTCCTCTTTATAGATGCCCTAGTGGACAGAGTGCTTACCCCAGAGCTGTAACAGGGACCATTGACACTCCGTATGTTCCCCTCAAAGACCTGAATGTGTGCTACAGGGTGAAATATGGATCATTGGTGGGGTCTCTGGCAGGACGAGGACCTCACAAAGCCATCACGGGGGATGAGGAAGCAAGGAAGGTAGCTCCCTTAAGTCCTTAGCAACACTACAAATGACCATAGCGACTAACCACATATTATTGGTCTACCGGCATTTTTCTCAAGGCAAGAGCCCCTAGGACAGCTTTGGTTGAGGAATCTAAAAACTGGGAGAGGCATTAAGGGAAAAAGTGGCAAAACAGGCTCTCTCCTAAAACAGCAGCTACATGGCTTGGTGACATCACTAACAATGCTAGAACAATTGGCTTCCCATTCTGCTTTGTCTCTGGATGGACAGACTTGGGGCATCCTGTTTGAGGGGCTGGAGCTATTTGGGGCAGGGGGGAGTGTGAAACTGGAGGCACTTCAAGGATCCAACTTGATCCAAGCCTTAGGGTTTATATGGGGTCGAAGCTAGAGGAGCCAGGGCAGTTTATACCATCTGAAGATCCAGCCCCGATTTTGGAAGTCAGGAGGATATTTTTGGTGCTTTGGTGAAGATCAGCACGTGGCACGTGTGTGAATTAAACATAGGCCCACGGAGAACTCTTTTGGCCTTTAGAATGGCTACGATTTCAAGAGACACACGTTATTTAGTCTTTAAGAGGGGGGTCTGATTTCAGGCAGGTAATATTGCAGCAGTTTCAATATAAACTGATTTGACAGTTATGGCTGGATCCTTCCCCTTTGTAATCTGGGTGCTTTGCCATGGACACTATCAGAAGAAGACTCAGACCATCTAAAGAGCAATGTAGTCTCTCCAGATTGTCTCCGGTGCACAGTTTAAATGTGTTGCTGCCTGGGAAAAATCTGAAATTCGATGTGATTGTGATGCCTGTCCTTCCATTTATATGTTCCAACTCACAATACTGCTGACTAGCTCTTAGTTTTTTCCTGCTTCTGAACCATCTGTTGGTGGCTCTGAAGTGCTTCTCACCGTCTGTGCATAAAGCACATGATCACAGCAATGCCTTTGAGTCTGGAGCGTCTTATATTTATTCACCTACCATGATATAGCTACAGGTTGAACCTCTCTAGTCCAGCACTGTCGGGACCTCACCGGTTCTGAACGAGAGAATTTTCCAGACCACGGGAGGTCAGTATTGTCTAGCAGCATTACCCACACTTCCACTGCTTCCTGGGCTATTGGAGGACATACTGGGGTAAATTAGAGCTAAATAGCAGCACAGAACAACGAGAGCCAGGATGGGGGGCTGTAAACAAACTTTATGGGACTGCGGAAAACTTGGCCACATGCATGATAAGTGGCCATCTGGCTCACTAAAATCATTCCGGATCATGCATGTTTCCGGACCAGAGAGTTCTGGACTAGAGGTTCAACCTGTAACATGTTTTCTTGCTTATGGAACTGCATGACACGAGTTGCTTTAAACACATAATTTTTTATTTCTTTTTCTAACAGTCTTCTCCCAGAAACATTAATTGGCAGTATGTGCTGCATTCATCTCCTGATATTTTATCGACAAATTCTCAGTGATGTGCTCCTGAAGGACAGAATAAGCACACAAAGTGCTGGTAAGAGTTGTTCTGTTGAAAAAGAGTAAGATGAGAAAATGTAGTATTGGTACTCTATGCTTCTGGTCACTTTGTCTGGAAGCAAATGTTTACAGAAGTACCAGAATTTGAGCCTAGCAGAAGATAGTACAATACAAGTAGTATAGAATTTATTTTTCCAAAAAGTAGTTTAAAGATTAGCACAATATAAATGATTTCAGCCAGTTAGGATGGAAGTGTGTTGTTTTTGTATTCATGTATCATTAAGATATTTAAGAGCAGATTGGACAGACATCTATCAGGGATGGTCTAGATGGTGCTTGGTCCTGCCGTGAGGGCAGGGGACTGGACTCTATGACCTCTCACGGTCCCTCCCAGTTTTAGTATTCTGTGATTCTATAAATCCAGTTTAAGAAGGCTCTGGAGCCCATTGTGTTAACTGCCTTATGTTTCTTGATGACTTACACAGTTTTACCGACGTGTTTCAGTTTTCAGAAGCATGAACAAAAATAGCACACTATCTAGAGTACCTAACCGTTCAATCTGGAGGGATTTTATTTGCAATTTCCAGTGGAAAATGAAACCTCTTCTTCTTCAGCCACTTCTGGAGAGTCCCGTGTTGCTACTCAAGAGTCTTTTAGAAAAGTTTAAGTATTTCTTTGTATTTCAGGCCGGTAATATTTTAATGTACATCACATGCGTTATCATATTTGACTAAAGTTCTCACAGTGGAATGCAAACATTGCAAGAAGAGTTTTGTTTTCAGTGAAGTGTAAAGCACATAAGTCTACTGTAAAAAAATATTTTGAAAAAGAAGTATTTGTTGCAGCACTACTGGCCGTTATTCATCAAACATTCACTGAGGAATTAGGAATTCCTCATCAATCAGAATCCTAGTGTTGCATTCCCTACGTTTCCTGGTTATCTCCAAATTCTCCAAATTCTGCTGCGCAGAGTGTGCACATACATAGTGTACAGCATAACAGTGAATTAGGCAGTTTAAAATCCCTATTTAAACTCCACACAAAAAAGTATTCAGTGTTGCTTCACTTTCCTCTTACATTTTGATAATGGAAAGTTACTAATATTTACTGAATCTTTAATATTTCACCTTTAAAATGTGGATATTATAGAAAAGTACAATAGTCTACATTATCTTCAGGGGTATTCAGAATCAGTAGTGTGTGCAATGGTATTGACACAGAAATTCTTCTGAATTGTTTTGAGTGCTGCTACAAGTGTAAGGGTATTTCAAATCTCATTCATGAATACATTTGGTTTCCATTTCAGATTTAATCAGCAATCCTGTTTTAGCAACTTTCCCCAAACTCATGGAGCAGCCTGATCTCATGGATGCTCTTAGGGTATGTAACACCTTGTATATTGATATGACACTTGCAGGCTTTTGAGGTATTACACATGATTTGGTCTTGTTGGTTTTGTAAGTAGTGAAAAAGCATGGGCTGATTGGATGAGCCTGCATTCCTCTTGTACTTGATTGCCTTTCTTAATGAGAATGTAGTAGCAAAGCACAAAGATGTATAAATACTACTTTAAAATGTTCCTATAGCATCTGGAAACAGATTATTTAAGAGGACGGGGCAGAGGTAAACTATTTAACACACAAGAGCTGATTAATTTTCTAATTATCCTTGTTGACGTGTGGATTCTTTTTATTCTGTCTGTGTAGTTGAGATACTTATGTGGTCCCCACTGTCATGGTCTAGGACTGCCTCGCTGTCTTTAATATACTTATCCTCCCAACATCCATGTGAGGCGGGGTAGTGCTCAGCTCCTCTCATTACACAGAAGGGAACTAGCATGGAGACTCAAAGTCAGAATTTTAGAGGTAATTAAGCACCCCCTTGTATCATTATGTAAATACCTTTGCAAATCTGTCTCCCAGTAATCCTGATTAGTGCCCTGCCTCATCTTTCCGGTGACTATATAGCCATTGTTCTGATTAATCAACCCTCTAGTTTAGATTCACCATTCTGCATGCTGCAAAGTGTCTGAGCATCATTAGCAGGTGGTTTCTGGGGTGTGGAGCATTGATTGAAGGTGGTTCTACCTATCGTCTAATTCAGTTTGGGCAATACTGGTCCCCGGGCTGAATCTGCCAGGGTTAGCTCTGATGGGCCCCCATACCATCATATTTACCCTGTGCTTCCGCAGGTGTTTCCAGCCAATGGGAGCTCTGATCGCCTGTACCTGTGGAGGTGCAGGTAAATATAGTGGCAGAAGCCCACTGGGGCTAACGCTGCTGAAGTGCCACTGTTTTATTGCCCACCCCTGGTCTAACAGAAGTAAATGGTGGTCTGGTACTGAGAAAAGGTTTAATTTATAAAGTTGTAGCTGAGCAACACTGTAAAAAAGCACTTTGAAAATCTGTGTCTATAAGTGTTGTCCAGACACTTACAGGAGTCAGACCATAGTACCAGTCAGTAACAGCTATTATGTTTGGGAGGGTGAAATCATTGCCCTCAAAATATCATAGCAATATGGAATGTAAAATACAAACTGTGTAAAGCGACAGAACTCAGACACGATAAAATTATTGTATTGTACTGTGTGTTGTATCAGCAAATAAATTAAATAGTACAGTTTCAAAGCAGTCATTTTACTAACATTCGTCTTTTTTTCACACTTACTGTGTTAACTGGTTAAATTTAGCCACCACTCAACAGATGTAATTCTGTTAGGGAAATGGACAAGATCACCAAACAGGCAGATTTTTTGTGGCACCACCAAGTATTTGGCAGTCGAGTGTTACCTGCAAAATGTAGAGTTTCAGTTAAAAAAAATTAAGTCTCTGTGGATATAACCTTGCAGATGTAAACCAATGCACTGCTGTCTTCCTGAGTCTGCTCTGAGATAGGAACTTCCCTGATCATCTCAAAGTGGTTTGAAATAAATTGACTGCTAATCTTCTTAGTAGAAACTTTTACAGTTCAGCCATATAGTTGTTGTTCCTCAGAAATGAGACTGCGATTTAAAAAATTGCAAATCATTGAGGGTGTGTCTAGACTACAGGGTTTTGTCGACAAAAGTGGACTTTTGTCGACAAAACTATACCTGCGTCTACACTACCACCGAGTTCTGTCAACATATTGTCGACAGAACTTAGCAGTTTTGTCGACGGCAGTAAACCTCATTCTATGAGGAATAACGCCTTTTGTCGACAGGGTTCTGTCGACAGAAGGCATTATTGCATCTACACTGTCCTTTGCGTCTATACTCTCATGTCGACAGAGCGGCTTGCTTTGTCGACAGAACTGGATGTAGTCTAGACACTCTTTGTCGACAGAAGCTTTGTCAACAGTATCTGTCGACATAACGTCTGTCGACAAAAGCCTGTAGTCTAGACGTTCCCTGAATGTTCAGTCACTCTTTGAATTTTTTTTTTTAATTATTTTTAATCTTCTCTTTTTCTCCCTGTCTGTGTTCACCTCAGTCCATATTAAGGAACCAAAGCTAAATGTTATAACACTATTTGGATACCTCGCCTGAAGAAAGTCAAATTGTGTTAGAATGGTTATCTAAAAAACAATTTACCTCACATCATTTTTAATCAGATTCTAATTAGTTAGGGCCAACTTCTGAGGGTTCCTGTACAATTTGTTCCAGAGTAATTGGTCTAAATAATGTCAATACACATTTTGATTCCTTAAAACAAAAGAAAGGCCAGGAATAGATGTGAACTAAATAAAAATAAACTCCTGAAAAATTCCTTATTGAAACACCATAGATTTTGACAAAAATTCCTCTGATGAAATTACATTGATTTTTGCGGATAGACCGAGCTGACTTCTTCAAAACTCCCTGCAGATTACCAGTGCTCCTGGAAATGACTATAATTATGTGCCATCTTGACACAAGGGATATGGAAACTGCTTCTGTTTATTCCTTGAATCCTTCTGGTCCTCTTTGGGTCCATAGCATCTCCTAGTTGGTGAGAAGAATACCAGAGTATTGTGTAGGGAGACACTCTCTGGTCTCCCAGAGGTACTTAAAAGTTCCAGGAGCAACTTTTCTCTTCCTCCTGGTCTCTCTCTCTCTACTACCATTTCTCTTTCATCCATCCATTCCAAGCCTTGTCCTGCTACACATGCTTTTTCTGGAGAGTGTCTGGCAGTGACTAGAAAGATGGGTGAAGAGAGGACAGACCCTGGATTTGTGCCAGAAAGCTCTGCCTCCTGCATTGTGCCCTTTTCTGTTCTTTATTTTCTGAGGGCAATAGGCCAAGTATCACCTGGGTTGAATCAAGACAAAGAAATGCCTTTTGGAACTCAAAAACTGTCCTTACATGCATCTTCACAGTCTTCCAAACTCAGTCTGATGCCAAGTTTTGCCTTTTCTTTGGAAATGGGTGACAGGGGAGGGATTATGTGAAGATTATCTGTTGTGTTCCCTCCATCTGGTGCATCTGGTATTGGTCACTGTCAGCAGACAGGATACTAGGCTGGATGGACCATTGGTCTGACCCAGTATGGCCGTTCTGATGTTCTTATGTTTTATTTTAGAGCGCTTGGGCCGAAAAGGAAAGCACATTGAAGCGATCAGAAAAGGTATAACAGATTTTATCTGAGATATTAAATCTAATCCACACCAAAGGTATTGCTATCAGCACTATAACTAGCTGGAATCGTTTCTGTCATTAACATGACTAGTACTTAAACTCATTTCTGCTAATGACAGGGATCAGTGTAGAAGAAGTAAATACTATACATTCAGTTCTTCCCATCTTTTTTTCATCCGTACTTGTAGTATAGCATCATACCAACAAAGAAAGTATGGGAGGTTAGCTTGTAATTGAAGTCAAGCTTACCTCATTGTTAATATAGGATCGCTCATAATCCATACATGTAAATATCCACTAGTGGGTTTCGGTCAGTGTAGTATGATGAGCTATTTTATTTGATAAACAAATAACACTGAACATACACGTTTTATTGGCTGCAGACCACGTGCTTTTAGAATTGAACTTGTAAGAATAAAAAGGCACCTTTGTAGTTTTGTTGGGGCCTGAACCCAAAGCCAGTGACCTCGATGGATCTGGATCAGGTCCTTGACATAGTGCATAAAGATTGTGTCCATTTTTCCCATTATAAATAAGCTGTTCTCCAGCAAAACCACTGAAGACAAGACTGGAAATCCCTGGTATTTCCAATGTAAAAACATAAACTGGAAAAACATTTTTCTGGGAGGAAAGAAAAGGGGTTTTAAGACTCTCTATACGGTAGATCTTAAAGGAGCAGTAAAGGACACACACAGTTTTCCTCTTTACACTTAACAGTTTTGAATTATTTTATTTTCAGTGAAGTGCCTTTCACAGATGTGCCCATTTGTATCAAGGCAGTTTTATTAGGAGTGTCACAAAATAGACTTGGTGCTTGTTGGCACCACCGTGCATTGAGGTACAGCACTAGAAAAGTTAGGATTAAACATTTTAAAATATTGTGCACTATTTGGTGCAAACATCAGTGTACATGATGATAAAGCTGCCGGCATTTACATGACACCATAGTGCGTTGCAGCATCACGGGTTTGTCAGCTCAGTGTCTAAAGATGTCCCTGGGAAGTATTACTGTATCCTCTCGGGTTAGTGTTGTACATGTGAATCTCTAGAAATGCTTTCAGACCTCCCAGACTCACGCTGGTGCCCTTCTGAACAATTTCATTTTCTTATTTGTAGAGGGACCAAGAATTTCTGAAGTCTGTGTTTTTCCTGGTGTACCACGACAGTGTCTTCCCCCTTCTCCACTTCACTTCCTTCCCTCAGCACAAGTGGGCAGAAGAGGAGTCAGAAGCCTCTCGGTGGAAGGTGATTGCTGATTTCCTGAAGCAGAACCAAGCAAAAGATGGGGCGCTCTATTCTCTGCTCTCCTCAGAGAGTGTTCACAAAGCTTTTGATATTTCAGAGATCACATACGACTTCTTAGGACAGGCCAGGAGGAGTAGTACTTCAGTTTGATTGGATTGTTGTGTATAAATTAAAGATATTACCAATAATCTGACCAAAATGAGGGTTATATTACCATGTGGCTTGGGTTTCTTTTGGTCCAAAGCGCATTTTGCAAATAAATTGTATTGTACATCACAATATTTGGACATGCCATAAACTTCCTTTTTTATACAGCACGTCCTCATGGTTTATATCAAGTCCTTTATCTCCTTGTGCACATGATTCTTGGGAAAAGCTTCTATTTTCATTTTTAAATGAGTACTGTTACCAGTGAAACGCATTGCTCTTCCCATGTTGTGTAGCTGAGTGTTCCGAAGTTCTCCGTAAACATCTGCAAAAGTATCTCATTATCCTCCTTCCAAAACCCGCCTTGACTGAGGCTGCTGGTGTGCTGGGACCACAGCTTGTCATGCTGAGACCAATTCTGCCTCATTTTTCCTTGCACTCCCCGTGGGTCTCTCTCTATCCATGTTGACTTAGATGATCCCTGCCCAAAGAGCTGACAATCTTTTTGTCCCGTGTTTGCACAGTGCCTAGCAACGTGGGATCAGACCAAAGGTCCAGCTAACCCGGTATCCGGTCTACCAGTGGTGGCCAGTGCCTGGTGCTTTAGAGGAAATGAACACAGTATATAAACATCAAGTGATCATTCCCACTTCTAAAGTGTCCCTAGCTTCTGTTTTCCAGAACAGGGTTGAGAACCCTTTTTTGCTTGGGAGCCGCTGACCCACAGAAAAATCAGTCAGGGGCCGCACACACATAAAATCCCTCACTCATGTGGCCCCTGACTGAGAAGGAGAAAAACACTCCCCACATTCCCCTCACACACCAGAGCCTAAAGGGGCCCAGACTAGTAGATTTTGTGTGCTCTAGCCCCACAGGGAAGTGGCAGGGGTCTGGAGTGCCAGTACAGGCTTCCCAGTGCCAGGGGGGCCCCTGAGCCTTGGAGGCCAGATCCAGGCAAGTCAGGGGCTGCATTTGGCCCCCAGGTCTGAGGTTCCCTACCCCTGCTTTAGAATACAGTTTTTCATCTGTGCACCCCTTGGTTAATTACCATTGATGGACCTGTCCTCCATGAATGTATCTAGTTCTTTTTTGAACCCTGTTATAGTCTTGGTCTTAACAGCATCCTCTGGCAAAGATTCCACAGATCGTGCATTGGAAGAAAAAATATTCCTTTTGTATGTTTTTAAACCTGTTGCCTATTAATTTCATTTCGTGACCCCTAATATTGTGTTATGAGGAGTAAATAACACTTCCTTATATACACTTCCATCATGATTGTACAGCCCGCCGTCAGATCCCCTCAGACATCTCTTTCCCAAACTGAAAAGTCCTAGTCGTCTTAATCTCTCTTCATGTGGAAGCCATTCCATATGCATTATTTTTGTTGCTCTTTTCTGTACCTTTTCCACTTCCAAGGTATCTTTTTTGACATATGGTGACTAGTGTTCAAGATGCAGGCATACCATGGATTTCTAAAGAGACAATATATTTTCTGTCTCATCTATCTCTTTCCTAATAATTCCCAGCATTTGGTTAGCATTTTTGACTGCTGCTGCACATTGAGTGGATGTTTTACCCACAATGACTCCAAGATCTTTCTTGAGTGGTAACAGCTAATATAGACCCCATCATTTTATATGTATGGCTGGAATATGTTTTCCAATGTGCATTATTTTGCATTGATCAATATTAAATTTAATCTGTCTTTTTGTTACACAGTTACCCAGTTTTTTGAGACCCCTTTGTAACTCTTCACATTCAGCTTTGTACTTAACTAGCTTGAGTAATTTTATGTCACCTGCAAATGTTGCTACTTGTTTACCCCGTTTTCCAAATCATTTATGAATATGTTGACCAGCACAGATCCCAGTCCAGACAGACTCCTGGAGCACATCACTCTTTGCCTCTCTCCAATCTGAAAACTCACCATATTATTCCTACCCGTTCTTTCCTATCTTTTAAGTAGCTATTGATCCATGTGAGGACCTTCCTTCTTTTCCCCTCATAAATAATGCTAATAGAACATTGGCCGTAACATTGAGCCAACTCTTTAGCTGTAACAGTATTTTCTGTTGCACATTTGGAATGGTTTGTACACATCTCAGTTTCAGTTTTAATCTGGGTGTTGACTTCATGAGCAAAATGCAGGAATCTAGGTGCGGAATAAATTTTATCTGCACCAAAGCATGTGCAGGTGTGCACCACCCTTAGAAACAAAGTGGGCACTCTGCTAATTGGCTGTACAGCCTTTGACTCTCTCCTGAGTGGCTGCTGCCCAAGGGCTCAGCTTACAGGGAACACTGGTGGTCACCCAAACCATAACCCTTGGGCTGGGCCAGTTTCTTCTGCCTCCCCCTAATATGCAGTGTCCTTCCCCTTCCTCCTCCCTGAGTGGCACTGTTCTCCCCTCCCCAAATTCCTCTTGTTCATGGGCGGGGGGGGGGGGGGGGGCACAA